AGGAAAGGAAAGGAAAGGAAAGGAAAGGAAAGGAAAGGAAAGGAAAGGAAAGGAAAGGAAAGGAAAGGAAAGGAAAGGAAAGGAAAGGAAAGGAATAGAGAAACAATAAAATCAAAAGACAAGGAGAAACAAAAGAGAAGGAAAATAAAGCATAAATATAAATACAAAAAGAAGAGGGTGAGGTGAGGCAGAGGAAGGAGCTGGTGGGATGCAAGTGGATGCTCCATGCCCATGTGGCTGGTCCAGGGGTGCAGGAATTGTGGGGGGTGCAGGGGGTGTGGGGCACGGGGGTTCTTGAACTCACTGAAAGGAAAATAATAAAACCCCAGACAAAATAGAGAAGGCAGAGGTCAAGTTCCCTTTCCCAGGGGCAGCGCTGGGGCTGGGGTGCAGCTGGAGCCCTTTTGGGGTGGGCTGAGGTTAAACCAAACCCCCCTCCCCATGCACTCAGCCTCCATGGGGGACAGGGGAAGGGACAAAGCAGTCCCCAGGTGACCCCAGCCCCAAGCCCACTCCCGACCTGATGTGCTCCCACAGTGACAGGGTGACACAGACACCAGGGACAGCTGACACAGGCACTGGGGACATGGCCGTCCCAGCTGGACAGAGGGTCATTGGCTTTCTGCTTTTTGCTATTTTTTTCTTTTTTTGCCCTTTTTCAGAGCTCCTTCCACCTCCCAAACCTCCCCCAGGGTGGGCAATGCTGGAGCCTGGTGTGGCCCCAAAGAGGAGGCAGATGTCATCCCTGGGAGATGAAATCCGTGGAAGGTGCCATCCCTGGGAGATGTCATCCCCTGGAGATGTCACAGCCCATCCCACTGCCAGGCTCAGTGGTCCTGGTGCTGTTCCAGCACATCCCAATGACAACATGCCCTGGAAGAGTGGTGACAAGCTGGGTGCCAGCAACTCTTCCGGCCCCCCTGGATTTTTGGGGAGACTGGAGAGTATGTGCAGGATTTGGGGGGCTCTGGCGGTGCTGCTTTGGGGCTGAAAGCAGGGATTTCCTCGATGCCCCCAGGAGAGTGGGACACACACACTTTGTCCTCTGTCTCTCCCAGGCAGAGGTGGAGGGGTTCCCAGGGGATTCCCAAATCGCCGCCTCAACCAGTCCTGGGCAGTGGGAACAGCACAGGAAGGGGTCCAAGCTCACGGTGATGGGGGGGGGTGCAAAAACTCCCCAGTTTGGGGCAAAAGGAAGCAGGGCTGTCCCCTGGTGTCCCCGGCGTCTCGAGGGCCACCCCGGCACGGGGGGCGGCGGGAGGGGACGCGGACAAGGCACAGTCTGGTGTCCCCGCGGGGGCGGCCGGGCCGGGGGGTGGCCGGGGCGGGGGTCTATCGGCGGCGGTGGCAGCGGCAGTCCCTAAACATCCTCGTCCTCGCTGGCCTTGCTCCAGCGGTGGCAGCAGTTGGCCGTGATGCCCAGCAGGAAGTTGGTGGCCACCGAGGCGATGGAGACGACGAAGCCGACGAAGGCGATGAAGAGATAGTCGTCGAGGGTCAGCGTGAGGTGGCAAGCCTGGAAGCTCTCCTCCGTCAGCGACAGCAGCGGGGCTCCCGCCACCTCGGGGGGAGCCCAGCACTCGGCCTGCTGCGAATCTGCGGGACGGAGGGACGGCGTCAGCCCGGCCGCCTGCCGGCCCCCTCGCGGGCCGGGGCGCGGGGGTCCCGGCGGCACCTACCCGAGGAGCAGCGCTGGATGCGCCCCCGCAGCCACTTGAGGAGCGGCTCCATGGCGCAGCCGCAGAGCCAGGGGTTGCCCCCCAGGCGCAGCCCCACGAGGCCGGGCAGCCCCTCCAGGGCGTCGAGGCTGAGGGCGGCCAGGCCGCCGTAGCTGAGGTCCAGCTCGCGCAGCTGGGCCAGGCCGCGGAAGGCCTGGGGGTGGACGCGGCGCAGCCCCGGGTTGTGGCTGAGGTCGAGGCGCAGCAGCGCGCTGGCCTCGCGGAACATGTCGGCGGGCACCAGGCTGAAGTTGTTGTAGCTCAGGTCCAGGTGTGCCAGCCGCCGGGCGCCGCGGAACAGCCCGGCCGGCAGTGCCGCCAGCGAGTTGTTGCGCAGGTCCAGGGCGCGCAGCTGCCCGTAGCAGCCCAGGTAGCCCGGCGGGATGCTGGCGATGCGGTTGTGGGCCAGGCTCAGGTTGCCCGTGTCCAGCGGCAGCTCGGGGGGCACGGAGAAAAGCCGCTGCCCGCTGCAGTCCACCGCCTGCCCGCGGCAGCTGCACAGCACCGGGCAGCCCGCGCCCGCCGCCGCCACCGCCGCCGCCGCCGCCAGCAGCCAGGGGCCCAGCAGCATGGCCTCGTGGCCCTCACGGGGCGCCGCCGGCCATCCCGCCCGCCCGCTCACGCCGAGGGCTGCCGGCGGTCACAGCGACGTTCCCGGCATCCCGGCGGCATCCGCGGGGCCACGCCAACCCCTCCGGGGGCACCGGCGGGGCCGGCGTCGGGCCGTCGCCGGCTGCCTGCGAGGAAGCGGAGAGGGGCGAAGCCGTGCCGGCCGCACGCCCCGCCGCGGGGACCGCAGCTGTGGCGGCCTCTGGGGCACCGCACCGTCCCCGTGCCCCCCGGCCAGGGTCACTCCTCCAAGCATCCCCCCGGGATTCAGACAGAAAGGGGCCCCCCAGTCCTGCTGACCTTGGCCAGCCCATCTCGGCTGGCGGTGGGCAGAGCAGAGGTGCTGCTCCACGGCCCCCCGCCAGCCCCCACCACCACGAGCTGAGCCCGGTGCAAGGGACACCCTCCCCGCCTCTCTCCCGGAGGAAGATCCCCATTCCCAGCACCCACCAGGATCTCTCCAGGCCTGCCCTCGCCCCCCACCACCTGACCATGGCTGCTCCATCCTCCATTGCCCGCGCCCCCCCAGCTCCATCCCCTCCCACCGGCCCACCTTCCCCGGTCGCTCCCCATCCCCGAGCGCCCCGACCCCTCCGGTGAGGCTGGGCTGCCCTGGGTTACTCACTGGCCAGGGAGGGAGCAGGGCCTGGCTCCCTGTGGCGATGTGGGGGTCCTGAGTGGCGATGTGGGGAGTTCCAGCGATGATGTGAGGGTCCCCGGTGGCCGGCCACACCCCAGAGGCTTCCAAGTCGGGAGCTGGGCTTCGGCAGCGGCGGCCAAGGCTGCTGCGAGCCCGGCGATGGGATCAGGTCTTTCCCCACCTCCTTCCTCCCCTCCTCCTCCTCGTCCTCCCTTGTCTCTCTCTTTCTCTGTCTCTTTTTTTTTTTTCCTCTTTTTTTCCTTAGGGCCAGATACTGACGTGTCGGTGTCTCTTAGCAACTGCCTCCACATCTCTGAGCAACAGGAGAGCGGGATGCGGAGCCGCCGAGCCGGGGAGACAGCGGCGGGCGGAGGTGCCCCCGCCTCAGGGACCCCCTGCCCAGGCCAAGGGACCCGCACGGCCCGGGCACCCGGCAGGGATGGAGCAGGAAGAGGGCTCCATCCTGCTCCCCTGCCCCGATCCCCGGCCCTCCCACCTCTCCCAGCCCCGGGAAGCATCCTCGTGGGATGGGGTGAATCAGGGGTTCCCAGGCACTGAAAACAGAAACAGATGACGTGGTGGCAGAGGGGAGAAACGAGGCAGCCGGGATCCAAGGGGAGCTCTAGGATCCAAAGGGACTGCTGGGATTCAAGGGGCGCTGTCACCCTCCTGTGCTCACAGACCTGGAAAATGCCTCGGGTTGACGTGGATTATTTTCTTTCACGCAAGCTGAAACATTCCCTTTCCCTTCTCCGTTTGGAGGGACACAGTGGGGTCAGCCCCACCTGGCCCCTCCCACCTGAGAATTGCCCTTTAGGGTCACAGGGATGCCTACGGTTTGCTCCGGGAATGCTGCAACACCATGGCTCCAGCATTTCTAGGAAGGAGGCACTTCCACATCCAGCCCGCCCACGTCTAGGGGATCCCTGCTTAATTCTCTCCTGCTGATTTCACGGAGCTGCTCCTTTTTCCAGCTGGCAGTGGCAGCCCGATGCCAGTGCTGGGGGGCCTTTTGCTCCCCACATCCCATGGGAAGGATCCTCCCTGATGCGGAGCTGGCAGACAGCACAGCCGCCTCTCCTGGGGTGGCATTAACCAGCAGTGCTCCCGGCAAGCTCCTGGGAGCGCCTGGAGCACAAGGCCCGGGCTCCCAGCGGGCTCCAGGAGCCGAGCAGAGCCAGCGGCAGCACAGACACCTCATTAGTGCTCAGCCCGGAGCCTGGCAGCGCAGCCCTGCCAGCAGCTGTTGGCGCCAAGGTTTTTTTCCACTCCCCCACTGTTCCGGGCTCCACCAAAGAAACTGGGAAATTGTCCTGATTGTGCTGGGCTGTAACAGATTTTGTGTCCTCCTCACCCAGTCCCCTGTGGAGGTGGCCACGGGGACATGGTGCTGCAGGGCATCGTCCCTGAGGAAGTCCTCTGCCCTCTGGGGTGGGAAGGAGCCTAGGTGTCCTCCCCACCCTACCTACTCCCTGCCTGATCCCATCCAAAAAGCTCTCCTGGGACAAAGTCCCCTTTGGTGAGCACTGGCTCTGGAACTGAGCGCTCCAAGCACTTCCAGCCCCTTGCTGTGGAAGGAGCAGCAGGGCAGCTCCAGGGATTCTGGCTCCATGAATCAATCTACCTTATAGCCAGAGCCTTTTCTGTTTGAATCCAGCTCTGCTCCTGTCAATCCATGTGCATTGAGGCTTGGGAAAGGAAGAAGGAAGGAGTGGGATAGGTGCAGTTCTGCTGGTAGGGGGAGGGCCAAAGCTCCCACACTAACAGAGCCCCTGGGCAACCATCCCCTCCCTCACCCTTCCCAAATGAACTCGGCTCCTAGTCAAGACAGGCTGTCCCACTGATCCTGCCACAACAGGATCCAGAGCTGAGGCTGGGCTTCCTTTTCCCATTAGGAAAAAAAAAAAAAAAAAAGGATGAGGAGGCATTACCACTGCTTAAACTGTCCATGGAGATTTTTCCAACAGCAGGAAGAAGATTCTGGCACAGGCTAAGATGAGTGCACAGGAATTGTTGAAAGAAAAGGAATTGCAGATAATTAAGACAGGATAGATAAATACATAAATATAGTAAATATATTTTTTAAAAAGCATTACAAAAACATTATCCCCTCAGTGTAATTAAAAAAACCTGATCTTTCCTACAGTAATTTCCAAGCTTCCTTCTACAAGAGAATATCCTAAGTAAATAGGAAATGAGGCAGACTAGGAACTGGCTCTGGTTGCAGATTAGAAACTGATTTCTGCAAGCAAAAGGAACACTAAGGTATGGGAAAGGAGACACACCCAGTGAGTGCTGGACTTTATTAAACAACTTTATTTCTGTACAAAAGAAGACTAAAATGTTAAAATTGTAGATACAGAGAAAGTAGAACACAGCCTCTAGAAAATGCCTTGGCTCAGCTCTGGAAGGTGCAGGAGGGGCCGGGCGGGGAGTGCCACACGGCCGAGCTCGTGCGCTTGAAGTAGCGGGGTTTGTTCTTGTAGAAGATGTCCTCCAGCTTGGGGCTGGGGATGGCCCCGAACAGCGCGTCCAGGTCAGGGGGGTGGTAGTACTGGTGCACGATGGCCTGCTGGAGCTGCGCCCCTGCGGGAACAGCGGGAACAACACCCGGCTGCAGCCCCTGCCTGCAGGACAGGCACTGCCCTTCCCCTCAGAGCCCACCGGCTGTGCAGGAGGGGTGGGACACATCCCACAGCCACCACAGCCCGCTTCTCCTCAGGAGCTGGGGCTGTGCCCCCTTTCCTCTCAGAGAACTCTGGGAAAGAGGTGCATACACTCCTGGACTGCGCTTTGGGATGGCTCCAAGCAAAGCTGGAAAGCTCCAGGGCAGGAGGGAAAGGAAGCCAGCCCAGAGCTGGCACCTACCATCAGCCCAAGCAGGGATGGGCTTCCGAGGGTTGCTCTCATCGTCTGTGGAGTCGTCACTGTTAAGATCCAGCCCGTAGCTGTTCTCATTGGACAGGGGCGATCCTGGTCCTTGAGCATCCTTCAGGGACCCCAGGCAGGATGTGGAGAGGGATTTCTGAAACCACACAGAGAGCAGTGATGAGCAAGGGGAGCAGCACTACCATGGCTGGGATGGTCACCAGAGCCCCAAAGTGCTCAAAGCCTGAACCAACACAAAACTGTCACCAGGCTCCATGCCTTGACACCTCCTTTTAACACCCCCTCCCCTCCTGTTTTCTGTGGAAAAACCGGGGAAAGGCACACTGTGCATGTCCCAACACTCAACTCTCCACCTAAACTCTTTGGTTTTCCCTCGCTGGAGCTCTGACAGAGCCAGGACGGAGCCCACAGCAGATTCCCGGCAGAGACAGCGCTGCATCCCAGCTCCGAGCAGCCTTTCCTGCTGCTCTGCCCATGGAATTAAGCTCCGCAGCTGCAGCTGGCACAAGCCTGACTGCCCAGGGCCGCTCCCACCGGGCCGTCGCCTCAGGACCTGCTGCCCTCCCGTGGCCGCTTCCAGCATATTTTCCGCCTCCAACCACTTGTTTTTCCAGCGGCTTCCCTGTGCCCAGCGCTGCGGTGGCTCCGAGCCGCGGGAGCTAAGTAGCCACAGCGGGCGGGGGCCGCCCGAGGGTAGTGCCGGGGCCAGGGCTCACCTTGACGGCTTTGTTCGGCCATGTCCCAGGGGCCGCTGGTGGAATGGGTTTTTTCTCCTCTCTCGGCTGCTGCTGCCCATCGGCCTCCTGTAAGACACAGGAATTAAGTCACTCCTCACTCATACAGAATAGACACCGACACAGAGCTGTGCTCTCGGCAGGTCTGGCAACATCCAGCCCTCAGTGCTTCTGTGGCTTCTTCTGCAGAAATAACCCCAAATCCAAGACTGACGTGTTTCTGCTTAGGTCCAGCCTGGCTCTCTGGAGCCCACACTCACCCTCTCTGCTTGGAGCCAGATGTTAAGAGCTGGGAAAAAGGATTCTGGTGGCTCATATCTTTTCTCCAGCCCAGGCTCAGGAGGCAGCTCTTCAGGACTTTGTTTCCCCTAATAAAGAGAAAAAAATTATCTGCTGAAGTTCCTTTTAGACCCAAATAGTTTCTCCTGGAGTTTCCCCTCCTGTGCTGCTCAGCCATTTTCTCCTGCCTGGAAAAGCTTTGCCAGACTCATTCTGACCCTGCTGCTGGCAGTACAGGAAGGATTCAGACCTTAAATTAAATTTATACAGCACAAGAGTCCAAGTGCCAGGGACTGTGGGAAGGAGTGCAGCAGGAGCCCACACAGGAGGAAGAATTGATCCTGAAGAGGAAGAACCATTTGGGGCATTGATTTTTCACTAATGAAGCAATGAATTTAAGAGTAGAGAATGAAAGCAAAT